CAGTCCTTGTTATTCCACCGCGAAGACTGTCTCTAAGCTCCTCGCTTGAATATCAGTCAGTATATCCCCTAGACAGTGAAAATGCTGTGTGTTGAAAGAGAATTGCAAATAGATAGCATTCATGATTCTCTATCCTCTGCCCTTTTTGTTAACAAGTCTTAACAGATTCTGTAGTATTTGCTAGGCCATCCTGTAGTGTTTTCCAGCTGGGGAAGATTTTTTAAAAAATACTTAAACCCATCCTAAAAGACATTGTTTGGACACACTCTTAATCTGTACAGTTTTTGTTTCGATTCATTTGCTCTTCTCCACGTTCTTTATAATCTGTGCTCCCTGCAGAGTTCTTTGAGCTGTTCAAGGGGCTTATCTTAAACTGCCTGAGCCTGCTGAGGAAACGAATGGGAGAGGAAAAAATCACACGGAACCTTCTTGGGAATTTTATTCTTCCCTTACAGATCTCAAGCTGAAAAGATAGCGAGACGTTTTGTGCCAATTCCCTGTGAGTCTTCCAGAGCTGGTTACTGCCTTCCCCGATCTCTAGCCGCAGCCACAAGCTTTTCACTCACCGCCAGCGTTTTACATACACCATAAGGTTCTCTAGAGGTGACAGCGGTGTGGAATCTCTGCACTGGGTGTCATTGTGATGGGGTGACGATGGCAGAGCTCAGCAGTTGTCTTCTAGTGGCTTTGGGGAGGTTTAATTTTCAGTGCAGAGAAGGGAGGTGATAAATGTTGTTCTGTGCTTTACTTTCTCCTCCCTCAGCTCTGTGGTGGTTCAGGTCTTCGTGGATATGTGTGTACTGTTCACGTGTGGCACGGAGCCTTGCTCCTTTTCTGGTAGAAACACAGCTTATACAGCCAGTGAAGATTTTCCTCTGGGTAGAATTTGACTTTCTCCTCTGATTTTGCATTGAAACGTGGCAGGTTCTGTTCTTTTATGCTGTTCGGATGCACAGGGGAATGCTGAGTGCAAAGTCTGTGGCTGCAGATTTATTAGGGAGCAGCAGGAGCTGCAGTCCCTGCAGACTGCCTGCTCTAAGTCGTGTGCTCCAAAACCATCAGTTCGTAAAGCATTGCAGTCAGCAACCTTAATATCCTGCCTTCCTCATAAACTACAGGTTTCACTGAGAAAGGTCTTGAAATCTCTAAGGAAATTTCCTCTTCAGAAGTTTGTCTTGGTGGCTTTTGATACACTGCTGAAAGAATACACAGGCCAGAACAAACGTCCCAGCTGAACTTTGGGTCTATTAACATGAAGCATTGGAGTCATTTCCTTAACAACGAAACAGAAGATTGAGCGTTACAGGATATCCTCTCCCTTAGATTGGATTTCTCTTTTACACCCATGTGTGTACATTCATACGCCATATGGACTCACGTACAACCACATTGCTACTAGTTTGTGTTTTTTAAGTTGCATGCTGCCTTAAAAATGCTGAGATCTCAGCAAGAACATTTCACTGTAAGAATGTTGAAGTCTTTTATTATCAATAAGGGATCATTTTCAGAAGAATATTTATCTGAATTGGAAGTGCTCATTTTCTCATTTTCTGCTCTTAGGATCTGTGGACCATTTATCATTAGCTTTCAAATGCTTCTGTGTGATGCTGTACCACACTATGTGTCTTCTTTGGAAAATTACTACGTACAGTAATCTGTGTTACCAACAACCTCTTTCTGCAGTACAACTAATAGAGAAGCTGGTGGCATCTGTGAGACTCCTCCTTAATTCATGGCGTTGGTATTTGTAAATGCAAAAAGAAGTGCTCCAAAGTCAGGTTGGAGCTCATGAAGTCCTGTGCTTGGAGCATACAGTAAACACATAGCTGAGTATTGAGGTTGTCCATCTTTGCTCTTTTTTTCCCCAACATATATCTACATTTATCTTTATCAGTCAAGGCTCCTTTGCCAAATCTTTTCATATTAAGTATTACTTTTAGTTGTCATCTATTTCATTCTCTGTTCTCAGTACTTGCTGCGTAGCAGACAAGAAGACTGAAAGATTATTTCTTCCTGGCTAACTCTTGGATCAGTACTCATTTACTGCTGTACTGGTTGATAAGTGATACCTTGATATATCTCTGTACAGTAATATGTCATTAGGAAAATCACTTTATCATGACATCAGAAAATTCCTGAATTACACTTTCTAAGAAAGTGCAATGGCTTTTTCAGTGCAATGGGATGCCTTTGTCTCTTCATATTACAGTATGTGATGATAGACATGTTTGTTGTGTCTATAAAAAAAAGTAATGCTTTGAGTAATGCTTACTTTTAATACTCTGTATTTAACTCTGTATTTGTGAGGAAACAATATGCTGCTTCGCATCTAAGTGGCTTTTATTCTTGAGGGACACAATTAATTTACACTCCAAAAAACAAAAGGTCCCGAAGCATCTCTGAAGCTTACAGTAACAACCTTTGGAATAGTTTAACCATTTTTTCCTTTAGTTTGGAAGCTTAAAAGATAAAATTTGGAAATCAGTCATGTATGAATACACACATTTTTCTTCAAGAGCAGTATTTGAGAATTCATAGCTCATGGCCTTGTTAAGTCAAAAGCATTTACATTACTGAAAGTATTAAAGGAGTGGAAAAAAACCTTCTAACTGTGATTTAGGGCCAAGAGTAGATAAAAATGTTAAAAATAATCAATCATGATACAAAAGAAAGCAGATTTTTTCATTAAATTACTATTGAGAAGAAGAAAGATGGCATGTTTCTATTTTATTGTAATAAAGATGAGCTTTCTGTTTGATCCAGAAGTAGTGTTGAGGTGAAACAATCACTCTCAAAAGTAATTTTTTTTTTTTAACTGAAAAAACTAAGGTGTTCCCATATTTCTAATGGTAAATGGAATGACTCGGGTAAGTATAAGATTGTAAAATTGACATTTGTCCCTAATAAAATTATGGAAATGTGATATGGGATATGGTCAACAGTGACTCAGACAGGACATTATTACCAATGCAAATGATGGCTTATGGAGAATATGTCTTGTCAAATGTGTTTATTATTATTATTATTATAAAGCACACTAATGCAGGGTATTTTAATGTGTTCTGTACAACATTTTTTCTTTACAGAAAAATAGCATTAAGCCAAATTGACTTATTCTGTCTTCAATCAAATAAAAACTAATTATCTGGTAGATCTTGGAAGGTGGTTGTAAGTGAGGAAAAAGTCATGCTTTGAGGAAGTTTCCGAAGAGATACTGTGCTTGATAGGGCTAGGCACAAGAAGCATCATCTCTCTTGTTTATTCAAGATGAGATCGAGAGATGACCTGGTCATATTCTATAAACACCTCCATGTGGAAGAGATTTCTGATGATTGCAGGTCTTTCATCTGAGCAACACAATGAGATCCACTGGCTGTTGGCTGAAAACTAAAACCAAAATCAGTTCAGAAGCAGTACACGTTTTAAAAGAGACAGTAGCTGTCCATTGGGACGACTACCCTATTTCATTTGAAAGCATTAAAACAAGACCTTCTAGGCTATAATTTTACCAGGTATTCTGAGCTTGATATGAAAATCATGAGTGTAAGAGGTTAGTGCAGATGGTTGCAGTAGCGCCTTCTAGCCTCAGACTGTCATAGTACAGAAGATAGGAGAATAGCTTCTACTTCACCACCATTGTATCTTGGACCGCAAAGGAACTTTGATCTATTGAAATAAGAAGGGGACTAAATGTTATTATTAAACTAGCATTTGTTTACTGTTTTCCCATTCTATGCTTTAGGACCTTTAGTAATACTTTACAATAATATGTTTTGTACCTCTTCTGTATTGAACAGAAATTAAAATCATGGCTGTACTTCAATATTGACATTACCATTTGTCTCAAAGCTTAGTCAGGGTTGCCGGAGTCTCCCTCTGTTTGCTAATAGTCAATAATAGTCAACACATTGACCCACTATCCCTGTCTCTCACATTGTCTGCAGAGCAAGCTGCAAGATTAATTCCATACAATGAGAAATTAATCAGTACTATTGATCTGCAGTCTTCTTTATGAGCCTTCCAGAGTGCTCTTAATCTCATTCTCTTTTCTATTATTTACCCTAGGAAAACCTTAAAAGGTTTTATCTGTTTTTCAGTGCAATTAGCTACCGTGCATTTTACGGTTATAAGGACATTAGGGTGCTTAGGAGGATGTGCAAATATTAAACACACAGATTACAAACCTAACAAGACCCACAGGTTTTCACTTCCTTTCTTCAGGTGTATTTGTGTTACTATTTCAATAGGGAAAGCTATTTAAGGTAAGAAATAAATTTAAGATCTTATTTAATTGATCCACTATGAAGACATCTCCATATTCATGGGACAGTTTTTCACTCACCTTTACTTTACATTTCCTAAGGTTTCGTGTACTTTCTTTTTGCTCTAATCTCAAGATTTTTGGATTTTTTAGTCTGTAAACCCTCCAGGGCAGGTTACTTATTTTGTGTCTGTACCACACTGAAACTAAACCCTAGGTGTGCTTGGATACGTGTCGGTAGGTGGTCATCTGCATCAAGACTTTTGAAGACTAGGTTTTCTGGACATGAGCAAAATGTGGTGTTTTCTACTGTGAACGGTCTGTCTTTGCGTGTCTTCAAGCTCCTTCAGCTCTGAGTGTTCTGTGCTCCTGCAGGGATTGAGCATAGCGGCAGGTGGACAGTCTGGGCACCAAGTCTGGAGGGATATCCACAACAGGACATGGTAGTGCCAACTGCAATACTGGAAAACAAGTGTGGAAACTGTTAGGAATGAGAACAGTGTAACAGAATAGTCCCTTCTTCCACATCACTTCCAGCTGAAAAAGCAGTACATGGGTAGAAGAAGACTACACCAATTCAAGAAAAAGCTCCCACCAGAAGATTTCTATAACTGGATGGATCGACCTTAAGATCCACTCAGGAGGATCTTCAGATCCATCCATTCAGTTATTTCATAAAGCATGTGCTGGCCTAGTGTCATATTCCAAGCTGATTATTTTTCATCTTTCTTTTTTTCAGGTTCTCTCGATTTGCCCAAAGGACATGAGGGCAGATATTTGTGTGCACCTAAACCGGAAAGTTTTTAACGAGCACCCTGCCTTCCGGCTGGCTAGCGACGGCTGCCTGCGAGCCCTGGCTGTGGAGTTTCAGACGATCCATTGTGCCCCAGGAGACCTCATCTATCACGCTGGGGAAAGTGTTGATGCTCTTTGCTTTGTGGTCTCAGGATCCCTAGAAGTCATCCAGGATGACGAGGTGGTGGCTATTTTAGGTACTGTGATCTCTGTTGAAATGCTGCTGGCTTGGATATATTTGCCTTCTGCTTAGCTTCGAATATTAACTAGTCTTGCCTAACATCGGCTGGGACTACAGGAGGGTAGTGGTTGTCATAAGATGGAGATGTCTTGTCTCCAGAGATGCTACTCTAGAAGCAAACCCTTCATGTTTTATGGCATTGGGAATGCTCTTTCTGCCCAGTATAGCTCCGTGGTCACAGTTACAGTGTCTCTGAGCAGAAGAGAATGGCATCTGTGTACTTCACATCTGTTAAATAGCCTGGTAGAGGAATGCACATTTTTTTTATGTTAGTCTCTCAAGAGGATTTCCACATTAACCTTCCCACAGGGATTTTAATTTGTCTGTATTCTAGCCCAGAATACCTGCAAACAGTTGTCTCTACAAGAAGGCAAAACTGTCGCTTGTAGTAAACTGACTTTACAGAAAATAAAATAGTCTGATCTGACTATGCAAAGAGGTAGGGATGCACCGTCTATCCAGCCACAGCTGTGAGAAGTCTGAATAATGTGGGAGCTCCATGTTAATCACCTCGTCACCCCACTGTGGTGTCTGGTTTGCCAGCAGTGAGTGGAAAAGAGCCTAATGCAGACCCCTCACTAGCTTGTATGGGATTGGGAAAGGTGCAGCAGATGGTGAGACTGGGTGGTCAGCACTGGTGTTGAGGCAGGAGTCATCCTCAGAGGCAGAACAATGTAGAGGAAGAACTGGTGGCTCTGCATGAAAACCATCCAGAGTCTGTCTTGCCTGTTTGAAATAGACCCATTTATCGTAGAACTCATCTGTTGAATATTAGCTATTTACCTTCTTTTAAACTGGAGCTGTGGCTCCCTGAGGGCAAATCCAGCGGGTGGCCATGTGCTAGGGGACCTCTTACACCCCACTGAACCACTGAACTGCTTCATCCCTTCATGGGTGGCTCCAGAGAGCTCCGTGGGTCCCTCTCGTAGCTCATGGGAATGATTGCTGGGAGATGAGGGTTGGGAGTTGCTCTGGCATCTGGGAAGAGGTCACATGTGGGGAGTCAATACTGGTTGTGAATCAAGGCTTCAGCTCCTTCCCAGCTGGGAGCAAGGAGGAGGAGAGGAGCAACAAAGACAAGCATGTAGCCAAAAGAGACTCCTGACGTGTTGCTGTATAAGCCTGTGTACACTTGTCCTGCACTGGGGCAGGAGTGGGAAGTGTGGGGGGGACTGCATGGGGACAGCACCCCGAGGGCATAACCCAGGTCCTCACAGCTGGAGAGTATGAACTCAGGAAAATGCACATCCTTGCTCTTTTGAAATACCTGCTGCAGCTTTCTGTACTCAAGTACATACTAAGATTTTTAAAAAGAGATATTTAATGTAAGAATGAATCTGTTTCCATATTCAGATGCGAAGTCATTATGGTGAACCTCCTAAATCTGCAATTTCCATAGTAAAATATTCCTTGTGTTTCAGCTCACTGAACCATTTCATTTTTATTATTAATCTCAGTTACAATATCTTATATTTGCTTACAGCTATTTAAAAAACAAAAGCTTTAAGAGTAAGTACCAGCATTTAAACAAATAAATGGTTTTCTGGGTATTACAATGAAGACAAACAGTAAATACATAATTTACTGAACTAGAAGCCATCACTAAATGGATTATATGCAAAACGTTATAGCGTTTACGAATGAATATTGTGCGTTTGGAGTGACAGTAAGAACTTTTCGTTTCTGCCTTGCAGAGATGGTAAATCTAGCATCTATGTTATTCTCCATTTAGCTTTAAACGTATCTAGTTAAAGTGAATTACCTTTAATTGCCAAAAGTGCCTAGATTCTGCCATCAGAATCAGATCAGGACAGGTGATCCCATGACTCACAGCTGTGTTCATTGTGTGCTACAGGGACTGGCAGAATGGGTAAATGAAACTTAGAGGAAGATAAACTGCTTCCTCCAGTCATAGAGCACACTGAAGGGTTTTTTCATGCTCTGACAGGTTATTTAACAGAATAGTGAACTGAGTAATTATGACATGTCATATCCTAAAAATTTACTTGTGGAAGAAAATCTTTCCCAGATGTAGTTGCAAAAACATCTATAGTGGCAGCTGCGGCACCTGAAATAGCAACAGCAGATCAGACGGTGAAGAACATAATTTTTATCGATCTGTTCTGCCTTGAGAAGTTCAAGCATAAGGAAAGTGAATCTGCCTAAGGGGGAGACCAGGTTTATAAACCTCTGCCTAATGTGAAAGCCTCTGTAGCCTGCTTTGAGTAATCCAAGTGTCTTCTGTCACACTGGGTTTCCAAGCAGAAGTCAATTTACAGGGTTGTACTACCAGTCTTTCCATCTTCACCATACCCCAGCAGTAACCTAGAGTGGAAATGGGATAAGTATCGTTTGGAAACTTGTCCTCATTAATTTCCTCTATGGGAGCAGGAGCATGGCAGGACATGTTGTCTGACAGCCTCTGCTTCTTGCAGAGCTGTCCATTTCCTAAGTTTGCTTTGGAACTGGTACATTGCAGTTACTGTTTTAAGAGTGTAGTGTTATTTAATATGGTAGCGCTATTTACCTTGCTTAAAGAAAAAGAGATCGAGAGAAGGTGTGTCCTTTTTTTTTTTTTTTGTGTATATATATATATACACACAGTTTTGGTATATTCGTCAAAGTGGAACATCCTAGGCATAAAAACAGGTTAAGAACGTGCATCTTCCAGCTCTTACATTTGTGCTTCTGTGCGAAGGGCAGGGCTTCATCCTCCCTCAGGTCCCAGCATGAATCACCCCACAGTGTTGCTGCTTTTTCCCCTTCTTTGTCTTCCCTTATCAGGTTCAATTCCCTCGCAGCCACCGTGAGTTGGCACTTCCAGCCTCCCTGCCTGCCGAAACGGTGTCCTCAGGAGGCTTGGCATCTTGTCCGGGTGCTTTCTGCTGGCTCCACTGTGGAGACAACCATCCTCTTGTTCAGCAGCAGTTTTCCTGGCTCAATGGCCCCAACTTTGGCATTTCTTGTGCTCGAAAGCAGGTGAAACCCAGTGATTGACAGCCCATCTTGCAGCACCATGATGTTTTATTCTCCCCTGGTTTGGTTTTATTCTCATTTGTGCCTAATTAAATGCCCAGCTGCTGCAGTAATCAGCATTACAGAAATTGGTAGAGTAAGGAATGAATCCAATTGGAGATCCACAGTTTATAGGACTCACTAATGAAGGTAACCAGGTGCCCCATTATGTTTCCCTCATTAGTTATCATCTCCATTTCTCCGGGACAATCTCCCACCTTTGCAGGTGCTGACTGCTGCTGCAGCAGAAAGTGCTTCGCATGCAGAGCTGGCGTGACGGGGGGCTGCTTTGCTGGAGAAAACCAGATCCAGTCATTTTAACATAACTCATCTGCCATCGCCAGGATAATGGAGAAGGGCAAACAGTCTTGTCTCTAATTATCAAAACTTTTCCTAGCAAGCGATGTGACCCTGAGAAGGCACATCAGTAATTTTCCACCGTCTCAAGCAGGAGTAAACCATTTAACTGCCACTGCTCTGCACAGGGAGCTGTTATCGGCGGAGAAGTCTCAGGAAGGACCAGGGGTTTGAAGTCCCTGAGGCTAATGAAATGAAGCATCTGCTAGCAGAGGGCACCTCACAATTCACCCTGCCGCAATTAACCTGAGTTTGCTCCTGGCGAGGAGTTTTGCGTAAGTGGCAATGCCAACCAAGTGTCCCTGGAAGCTGCCGCTGTTTGCACAGCTGACTGCGTAAGTTGTGCAGGAACTGAAACCAGGCAGATTGATTAACAAGGTTTCGAGAAGTTGTTTTGCCAGCAGAGAAATAATGACCCACCATGTTCAAATGTTGATTGTAGGAATTGATCAAAAATATTGCTCAAACTGCATAGTGATAAAAATATATTGAGCAGTGAAAGGCGAGTGGGGGCTGCTGCTGAATGAATTAAATTTCGATAGTCAAGCCTGGATTAATATAGATTTAATAGCTCGTGTTTCACCCACACTTAGGGCCTTGATCCCATACGTATTCAGTGAAGTTGTTCTTTGCCTATAGGTCTTGCATGTTAATTCTCAGCATGTTCTGCGTATAGTCCCAGTGCAACCTGTTGTTTATTGGATTTATTGTTTTTAGGCAAGCCAGAATTTCACTTGTTAAAGGTCTGCTTCATGAGTTATTTCTGAATTTTTGGTCTTGGAAGGGAATATTATGCAGTATCAGAGGAGTTAAGGAAAGGAGGAGTGAAACCAGCATGTCTTCTTGAATTTGGTATGACAGCTGAAAATAGGGATGAGTCTTTTTCTTAATCTTTTTTCTTCTTTTCTTAATCTTACATGCGTTTAGAGGTCAAAAGATTAAGTCTCCTGCCAAATCACACAGGGGAAAGTTCTCTGGAGGCTGAGGAAGCAGCAGCTCCTGTTTAGGTGAGCAGCAGACCCAGGCACTCCCTAGCTCTCATCTGTGGGCAAGAGTAATTTGGTGTTTGGGATCCGTGCATCAACACTTTGAATTTCCTTGGTGTTACGCAGCCAGGCATGTACTTTGTACAGGATGAGACTGACCGTGTGTGATGCAATATATGACATGAAAAACTGTCAGTCTGATTCCATCTCACAGTATTAGTAGCTAATTCTGTGATTTTAATTAGTTTAGTTGCAGCTTAGGTTACTTCTCAAGTGGAATGAAGGTGGCAGAACTTGCCCCTATGTCAAATCAGCTCTTGATATTTTATGCTGAACCTTTTTTTCGTTTTTCATATGCAGTAAACCAAGGCAGACTAATTGGGAGAGTTTCCCCAGGTTAGTAATGCGCACCTGGTAGCAATTTACCGAACAGCCTGTGTCCTATTTCATCTATAGGAAAAGTCTCTTTTGTTCCAGTGAGTTAAAGCTCTAAATTACCTAAGAGTAAAATGCTCCATAAAATGTGGGGATTTTTTTTCGCTAGCAGGACTGCAATAATTAAGATGGTGCAGGTTGTTTTTTAACTGCTGAATCTCAA